GGTGTCCAGAGGTCAGTTGTTTCCCCCCAGGAATGTGGTGCTGGGCGCAGGGAGGGCGGGAGGCGGCGGCCAGAGGTGCGGGCCCGTCCCGGGTCTCGCCTGAGGTCCCTCTGTTAAAGCAAACAGATAAATAAACCGAGGACTGTTGGGTGGAAGCTCCCCCAACGCATCGGAACTGACCCGAACGCCTCACCTCTGACCCTCAGCTCCCTCCACCTGTCTTTTATTTTCTGTTTATGCTTTCAAATCGGGCGGAGGAGGAGGGAGCACGGGGCGGAGGGTACGACGAGGGCCGGTGCCCCAGACACTCTCCGAGGCCGCGTCCAGCCCTGCAGCCCCTGAGTAGTCCGAGGAGGTGTTAATGGAGGACTCGGCGGTAACCGAACCTCATAAAGCCTGGGCGTCTGGAAGCCGGCGCAGCCGGGAGCGGGGCGGGGGCTGGAAGGCCGGTGCCCCAGACACTCTCCGAGGCCGCGTCCAGCCCTGCAGCCCCTGAGTAGTCCGAGGAGGTGTTAATGGAGGACTCGGCGGTAACCGAACCTCATAAAGCCTGGGCGTCTGGAAGCCGGCGCAGCCGGGAGCGGGGCGGGGGCTGGAGTCCCGCGGTGCGCCCTGGGCGCCTGGCCCTCGCCTTCTAGGAGCTTGAACCTAAGAGATACTGCCGCCAGCTGGTGCCTGCCTAGACGGCGAAGGGGCGGTAGCTCCTGCGGGAAAACTGGGCTAAGCCATTCACGGCTTCCCCGCCTCCCCCCGCCTTCCCCTCGGGTCGCTCCTCCGCTCTGCAGCTCGTCCGCGGGACCCCGGGACTCCCGGACCCGGCACGTAGCAAAGAGTTCTGCGTTCAGAGCCCGGCCCGGGGCTTCTCTCCAGCTCAAGCCCCTGCTGGGGGGTGGGGGGATTGAGGTTCCGGAAGAAGACTCGCACTCAAAGCCCGCAGCCGACCCGGGACGGGGCGGGGGTCCTATTACCTGCTCTGGATTCCTGAGGGGCTGCGTCGCCCCGGGCGCAGTCGGGCCGCTCGAGGTGGAGGGCGAAGCGGGAAGCCAGGCCTCTGGCCAGTTATCCACCCATTCCCCGCCAGGTGCGCCCCTCACCCTGGGAGCTGGGGCGGCGCTCCTTGCTGCCAGGCTCCCGCGCCAGGGGAAGGGGGTGTGAGCAGTGAGATTGGCAGCTTCAGACTGCCGGCCCAGGTGACGGTGCCGCCCTCCCTACCCGCCTCCCCTCTCCCCTCGTGCCGTGTCTAGCAGCTCCACGGCTTGCGTGGGCCGAGGGCGCAGGGTGCACAGCGTGATGGGCTGGTGCAGGCGCCTCCCATACTCCAGGGCCAACTGCGCGGGACTGGGGGTGACACCTGGGGCCCTGCAGGATGGCAGCTACCAGCCCCACAAGCTCCACCAGTTTAGTGGTAGCAAAGGATAGACCAGGAACTAAAAATCCGAGGCTCCCGCCTTTCTGTTTCCATCCCAAATTCTGGAACATCGCACAAAGCAGTCGGGACAGAATTTGTTTTCCTATCTTGGCCTCACTAATCCCAGCAACCAGTCTGTCCCGCCCGTTTACTTTTAAGCGTCCTGCCCCAGACTTTTCCCTTCCCACCCCGGCCTCAGCTCTTTCTTCCAGGATTCCCATTGTTGATCAGTGTTCGCTGCCAGGAAAGGAGACAGCTCCGGGGGCCAGCTTCTAAGCCCTTCAGCGAGGCCATGGAAGAGATGGACCGCAGTAACGACTCCAAAACACCTGAGTGCTAAGTCTTGTGTGAGCAGCTGTCTTAAACCTCCTTTAACTTGCAGACTCTTTTATTTGATAATAATATGGTTCTACTCACAGACACATACACTGACGCACACATCTAAACTCACACTTTAGTACACAAATTTCGCTTGGGAGGATGTGGTTGTGAGGGACCTTCAAATCTCCTAGAATCCTTACCCTCTGGGTCAGCATTGCCTTTTATTCGAGGGCCCCAGGGCTCTGTTCATTTGTATCAGGAATCCTAAGCCAAAACTGTGGGGATGGGGTCCACACACCAGCCCCCTCAGGCACACAGCAGCCCCCCGCCAGGTCCAGAGTAGACTGGGGACTCCAGGGACAACCCAGGCTCTGGTGGGAAGGCAGCTGAGGCTTCTTCCTTCTTCCAGTCAGGTTCTCCAGAGATGTTCAGTAGGGCACACACCCTCACACACACACACACACACACACACACAATTTAATTATCTGACTTTATTTTTGAAGGGAGAGGATATTTTTAGCACCAGGGAGTACCTCTTGTTTCAGGATAGTGAAAAAATAGCACTGAGTTTTAATCTTCTACCTCTCCGGACAGGTGTCAGCCCACAACCTCAAGTTGTCGCTGGGATGTGGAGAAGATGAGGTTGAGGAAGGTGGCAAGGTACCTTGTGGGCTGGCCAGGGGCAGTGCACATGAATCTCAGGCTTATCCTCTTTTGATGGCTGAATGGTAAGTTCGAAACTAGCTTTGAGAGCATTTTTGGAAGGGAAGATGTGCGGAAACAAGACATTTTTCAGCCCCCAGGGCACTTCATTTTCTCAGGGCTGGCCCAGTTCTAAACACACCCGGGTTTTGGGTGCCACGAACTTTACTTAGAAAACCAAAAGCTCTTCTTTTCCTTGCTCACTGAAGAGCATGCACCAGGATCCACCTGCTGGAGAACTACACAGGGCAGGGCCTTTCCCCAGCTAGAAGAACCACACAGCAGCAGGAACCCATCCCCATCCCCTGCTGTGGTGACCCCAGGTTCTGTTGGACCATTCCATAGTAGAAGTGATATAGTAATCAGCCTCCCCTGATTCATTGCTTCTGGTCCAGAAAGACAGAAAGTAGAGCAGAATGAGTTGATTTAAATGGGAAGTCTCTATTTTGCAGCATCCATGTGTTTGTGTACACACACCTTATAAGAAACCTGTATTTTTACTTTACAATGTGTGAATACAATATAGCTTAAAGCTTTTACAGTAAGATCTATTTATGTGGCCATATTGTGTTTAATGTGGGAGCACTGCCTAGCTACCGTCCTGGATGTTTGGTTCCAATTCATCTCCAGAACCACTGTAAACGTCAGTCCACCGCTCCTGGCTCCAGGTACAGGAAAGAGTAGGGGCATCCTTGTCCCTTCCTGCCCCACTCCCTGACCAGTGGTTTCTATGGTCTCTCACCGGTAAGGTTTGATGTTCTGCCAAGAATGGCCAGTGTCCCGTGTAAGGATTCCTCATGATGGCTGGTTTTCTTATTCTCTAGAAACATGACCTTTTCAGGCTTTCTTCTTCATTTTGGGACTGCTGAAGAAAGCAGCACCCAGCCTCCACTCAGAAAATGGCCTTGTTAATCTTCAAATCTGGTGGAAAAAGTGGAAATGACTGGATCTTCTTGGCCCAAGGATGGAAAGGAGACAGGCCTGCCTGTATCCTCGTGCCTTTCTGGAAAGATTAACACTGCCTCCACAATCACAGTGCTGATCACTTTCTCCTACTCCTCTCCACAAAGGAATGTGTGGATAATGCCAGGTCAAAAACATGGCTCTTCTGAACCTAAGAAAGCTGCTCACATCTCATATGGTCCATGGGAAGAGTTGTTTAAGGCACCATGGTTAGGGTAGCAGCAGGACTGGTGTGTGGGGGGTGCCAACAATTTTTGGACGCAACTGAGGTCTTCCGGAATCTTTCCGATTCCATCAGAAGGTGGAAGGTCAACTCTGAGCAAGGCCATTTTTCCCAGGAGGTGGAAACCTCATTTCACTGGACACTGTCCACAGGCTAAGAAAGGATGTCCTGGGGAATGCTGTCTTCATGGAGAAACAGGAAAGGTGTGGAAAACACAGTCCTTTTGAGCTCCTGACTCAGCCTGAGGGCTGATATTTCATGGGGGCATCATCACAGTGAACACTGTGGTTGTAAAGCTAATGAAATAGTCAAAGATAGACTTGCCTGGCAAGTGTCCAAAGAAAGGGAGGGAGAGAAATGGTCAATGAGGTATCTTCAGTGGCAGAGACTCCCGGGCAACATGATGCAAAGTTTTTATCAAAAGTACAGATGGAACATGAGAGCATTCCTTGGTGAGGATGGCACTTCTTGGGCACTCACCTCCCTTGACTGCTAACACTGATAAGACCACAGTAGGAGCACCAAGGATAAAAAACATCAAGAGCTACTCATGTGGCCAATTGCTACTTTGATTTAATAAAATGGTCATTATTTTTCCTCAACACGTGTCTGATAATGAAGCAAAAAAAGGAAAATGATTATCACTATGCCACTTTAGGACAAACATTTATTAGCTTTGCCACTGATGTTCTTTTAACATATATATTTAAGATTAAACTTGTGCTCCAATACAAAGAACAAAGAGAGAAATTCCGAATTAGAGATTTAAGTTCAATTAGAGTAGAGAGACAAAAATTGTTGTCAAACAAAGAAGTATGAGTTGAATCATTTCTTTTTGGATGGATCTTTAACATTGGCTTGACCATATGGACACTGCAGAAGAAATAAAACATATTATTATTAAATTACTTAATCATCTTGAAAAAGCACACTTGTGAAAAAAAGAGAGACTGCTAAGAGCACTATATAGATCATTTGAAGAATGGCAACCTTTAGCAAATGGTCCTAATTAGGGTTCAAGAGCCATTTCCTAAATGCATCCTCCCAACTTTAAGAATTTTACTGTCAAATATCCACCCAGAATAACCCAAGTCCTCAATTTACACAAAGCCGCCATGCATTTTATTAGAAACAGCATTAATAGAACAAGTGGAACCATACATAAAAGTGAAGGCTGAGTTTTTCAACACAGGCTACAGCTAATGCATACACATAGTGTCTATTCTTTAATTAAGAAGCAGTTCAGTTAGAGGAAGGAAGTAATACTTTCTTACAACAAACCATATAAAATGTTCTGTAAACAGCTTATTGGTTTATGATTTTAACCCTGTAACAATTTACCTTAATGTTATGTTTTTTAATAGTAAAAGAAAAAACCATTTGTATTTCTTTGTTCAAAATAGGGAAAGAGAGGGGTAGTTTATCTTCATCAGTAAACATAGAGATGTTATCTATTGACATAAAAATATCAGGAAACGTATAGTATTAAATTTGGGGAAATTTAGTTTCACAGTTCTTTTAAACATAGAGGACTAGAAAAAAGCAAGAGAGGAGGGAGAGAAAGGAAGGGTAGGGGAGAAAAGGAAGGAAAGAAGGAAGGGGAAGGGAGAGAGAAATCTTTATTATGTGAGGCAACCCACCTGTCAATGCTGGTCCGATTTCCATTTATTTAGCTAATAATGCAGAAAATGCTGCTTGAGATCTAGCTTGCAATATTCTTAATTTCTTTTCCTGCCTTTTTGTACTTGCCTAATGAACGTAACTTATTTGGAACCTCATGATAAGTTTTTTTGTAATAAAGAGCTCCCATGAATTTCAAGTCACAGCAGTTTTAGGGAATGATGCTTACAATGAAACATTACCAAATTCCATTAACTTTAAAAGTCCTGCGTTGCTACTAAGGACTTCATTGTCCTTGGCTAAAGTAGCTTGTGAAAAGTGCACTCCAGGTCTATTTAGCTTTTTTATTTGACTTGTTGTTCAAATAATAGGTATTTATGAAGTTATAGAAGCCCCGGCAAACCCGCTGTTATAAGGTGGATTGTTACTCACGTGTCTGCAGGCAGAGCCACAGCAGGCGCCTCTCTGCAAGTGGGCCAGCCTTGTGAGCACCACGTAACCACTAGCTGGGTCCACATAGTGTAAATGACCAGCCTGCAAGGTAATGCAATAAAACAATTCACTGATCTCAACGTTCATCATATCTCCTCAACATCATTTCTACTCCTAAAGTACTGTAAAAAATACTAAACTTATTCCCAGCAATTTTCATGGCATTTTCAATGAAAGACTGAGTGCATTACAACATATACTACGATCCAACTTTATGTGACTAAAGGAGAAAATACACAAGTTGAGAAAATGAGGAGTTGATGGAAAAACAAGAACTCTTCTATATCAGGTAACTGTGTAGTGACTGCTGTGATATTTTTCATTCAGTTTTTAAGTAACAGGCTTACTAACAGGTGATTTAAATAATTTTAAGAGCTTAGGAGGCTGAAAATGAACTTTCACTCAGACGTTGAAGTTGCAATTTCAGTACTTAAAATAGGTGGATAATGCTTTAGACTTACAGAAAAGGTGCTAATCAAAACCAAGAGTCCTTATAGAACAGTATTACTTTTGCCATTATTAAACACTTTCCCTTCATGATGTTACTCCATTGCATGTTTTACATTATTTTTTTTCTAGTGTTAATTCTCTTTATAAGTAAAAAAAATGGTTTTAACATATTAAGAACCACTGCTTTCACAAAGTTTCATCAAAAGTAACTTCTAGTATAGTCCTTTAACTCTCAAGGAAGCATGGTTTTACCTATATTCAAACATGGTTTTAAAAAGAGCATTCCAAATACTTCGTGTAAAGGTAAAAATAAGTAACTTCTGTGGCTCTGAGAAATTTAGGTGATATTACTTAGTCTTGAAATTTTGTAGGGGAACATTCCCACGAGCTTTTAAAAAGTAATGTTTTTACCATAAACTCTTGTATAGGACCTTTCGATAAAGTATACATTATACATAACTAGTGTGTATGCTAACGTGTATTTTAATGAGTAATGAAAAACTTGTTTAGTTGATCAGTGTCATATTTAATGGCTGAATACCAACTAAATGTTGTGAAGAAAACTTACAAAATAAAAAAGGGAGAACGGGTAAAGTTCAAAGTTCAGCTCCAGGTTCGCTCTAAGGCATTTCAGCAAAGTTAGAGCAAGGAAGTGGCAACCCAGCAAGTCTCCAGAGACCACAAGGAACAGCTTGCAGGAGACTAGGCTCACTAAACACTTTAGAGGGCCTTCGCTTTTTTATTTTAGAAGTTCGTATTTCAAAACTTGGAAGGAAAACAAACACTGAGAACTTCACAGCAGCCTGCTTTCCCTTGTCCAGGTCTCTGGATGATCCCGCGCGATAATCTCCCCAACTGAAAGCCCATGGGCCTTCTCCTGAGCAAGTGTGTCCACTCTCCAGCTTTGCTTTCTCCCAATGGGAACCTCTGAGCTTGTTGGCTGCTCACATAAACGTATGAGACACACACAAATGAGTCCCACACAATGGTGGCAACAGGTCGATGGGACAGCAAGATATTCCCGTGATGCACATCTGTGCAGGAAGAAAAGTTAGAAGAGCTCTCTGCCTTGAGGTGTTGCAAGAAAGCAGCTCTGGTTTGTTGAATAAGAAAATCCACCAGCTTCTCTTTGTGTGTATTTATGGTCTCCTGGAAGTCATTTAACCTATGATACTGACACTGATGAAACAGCTGTGGATTTCCTGAGTCAGAAAAAGTTCATTTCTTTCTTCCTGCTGATTGAACCTCTTGTTACATGCTGCCGGTGTTTGCTCTAAAAACAATGAAACTTTTGGCTTATATTCACCATTTTTATATGGTCACGTGTGGGAACAAATTACACTTGCTATTTTTAAAGGCAGCATATAAACAAGATCAAGACCCGCATACTGGCATATCGAAAAATCCTCTCTCACGGAGGCTGAGGCAAGAGGAATGTAAGTTTGAGCCCAGACCAGGCAATTTAGCGACGTAGGGAGAGACCTTGTCTCAAAATTAAAGGGTTGCGGGGGGAGGGTGTGCTGAAGATGTAGCTCAGTGAATAGGCCCTAGATTCCATCCCTAGTACCAGGGGAGAAAAAAAAATCAAAAATTGCCAGTTATTTTGATGAACTGTTCTTCAGTTTCAACACTTGAATGGGTCAGAGCCTGGATTCTCATGGTCTTCTAATTATCAATAAAAACAGTTAATTTTAGGCAACCTGCCAGGTTTTCATCAGAAGCGACACCCTTTAACACCAGTTTTACCAAGCTCTGGTCACATGCTCGTGCAGATTATTAAAGAGGTTCATTTCATATCATTTGTCTATCTTATTATAGCACTGTTTCTTTTATCCCATTGTTACTTTTGTAAAGGTTATAAAAATATAAATATGCTACCTTCAAACTCACATCGTCTTAAGTGTTGGGAGACGTTAAGCTGCTGCAAACAACTGTCAAATCCACAAAATAGAAGAAAACATAGCTCAAGAGAGTCTAGGAAGAGACTCCTGACTGCAGCTTCCTCTGCTCCCTCGGAGTGAGTGCAGGAAGAACGAGAGGGAGGCAGCAAAAATCAAAACGAGCAAGTTCATCGTTTTCCCCCTGATTAAAATCACTGGCGAGCACAGTGTTACAGTGAGAACGCAGGGACAGCGTATCTGTGTAATACATTTTTCCTAAGACTTCCAAGTTCTTCACCTCCACCAATTCCTCAATTACAGCCCCCCACAAACGCACGCGTGGTGGGCAGGTCCCACGCTGCGACCAGCTGATCGGAAAACGCGCCCCACTCTCCAGCGGGGCCGACACACGGTCACCCTTTGTCCGACGCGACGCCGCGGCCAGGACCCAGCGA